AAAGGGAAAAATAATATTTGAAAATACTAAAATAAAATGAACTTTTAAATGTTTTAATCGTCATAACATTTATTGTCGTTCTATGCTGTTTTTTTGTTGTTGTTGTTTTTTACTTTAAATATTTATTTCCACCTGTCAACTTGTTTCGCCAATCAGAAAATGTACTGAAATACAAGAAATAATCTCAAGCATGAGGAAGGACAGTTCACAGCAGCATCTCTTCCCTGACTTGTTTCAATTACTACGGTTGTTTAAGGAAGGAGATCTCTCATCCAACGCCTTTTAAATCTCCTTCTAATATTCAGAGGTATGTCAGTTTTTGTTATATCTCTTAATTATCTATTGTTGTATCCGTTGACAATGTCTTCTAATAAATATAACTTCTACAAATCCTACATACAATATATCTCCTAGATTTCCTCAAATATTCATATTTTTTAAAATTAAAATTCAAAACCATGAAAATAATTTAAATAAACCAGAAAAATCTATCTGCTTCCTCATTATTTCTATCGGCTAAAGAATTACGTAATTTTCAAGGTCTGTTGTATGATTTGCCTTTAAATAATAAAATTTAAGGGTGAAGCTGTTTTGGTGGACGGAATTCAGTAAATCTATATTAAATTATAGAGGTATCAACCCTCAAAATCTCAGAAAATTTCCTCAAATCCAACTAACGACAGAAGATTGGTTATACTCGTCAGATAGATTAGAATATAGATATACGTTAAATTCAAAAACTGTATTTTATCAACAAATATCCCCTTCCATATGTTCATAACACTTTCCGAAACCATAATATACTTTTCTAGCTATAAAAAATTTATTTGCGCCAGGTTGGAATGGAATGGATGGGGAAGGAAAGTACTCAGCACCTTCCCAGATTTTCTACAAATACTTAGGTTTTTTAAGGAAAAAGAAATCTCATTTAACTACTTCTTATTATCCTCCTCATGTTATGGGGTATGCCACCAGTGGTCATGTCTGTTATTAATCCGTTGTGATGTCCGTTTAATTCATTAATTCATTATCGATTAATAAGAAAATAAAATATACAACCTATTAAAAGATAAAGAAATCAAATGTGACTTTATCGATAAATATAATCGACAAAGAAAACAAAAATTAATTCAAATCTTCATTTTTGTTTGGAACCAACATGTTTACAAATTTCAGTAAGCTGTATCTAAAAGTTGTCTGATTTCAATGATTTTTTTTTTTCATTGTTTAGGGAATTTAGTAATATTTTATATAATCACGGGCATAACCAAGGGAAAAGTGTGTAATTTTTTAGTTATTCGCAAATAAAGTTTGTTTTCTTTTATAACTTTTTTGCCTGTATTTTTGAGATGATTGGACTATTTTTTCCGCCTGAAGGAGAAGGAAGCCTTCGAAATTGGTGGCTCAATCTTGAGATTTGGTGAAAAATTGACGATCAAAAACACCATCTATAAATAATATAAACTCCTCCTCTCTCGATTATAGAGACCTCAAGTCGACGAAATGAGACATGCATTCAATGACAGTACTACAATTAATGTAAGGTTTTGTGGATGCGAACACTATGCCTTGCGTTATCTCGAAATAGTACGTTTTTGGGCTTAAAAACGCAGGATCCGATAGTTCCGAGGGAACTATCCGGGTCTTGCTGTACGCATAAAAATCTTCTAGATCCAATTTGTCCCGTATCGATCTACAAACCTATCACTGTTCACTTATTGAAGCCTAGAAAAATGTTTGTATCGAATTTATTTTATTTTAGAAAGAAAAACAAAAGTGGAGAATACGATTCGCTAACCCCCCGTGAAATTCTGAATCCAACGGTACCCCATTCATGGTAATTGAGCATGGCAGGAGCTTATATTTGGTACAAAACCGATTTCGAGTCTTACTGTAATAATATATGTACGGAAACGGATACCTAAATGTTAAGAAACTATTTTAATTTTTGAAACATAACAAATATTAAGAAATTTGAGGAAACTGCAGTAAAGAAACCAGAATATATTACACATTGATAATTAAACCGTCCAATTTCTTGGACCGTCACATTCTTAGCTAGTCCCAATAATGTTAGTTCGAAGAAATGTCTGTTGCAGCAATTGTACGACATTCAGCTGAAAAAAACCAATCATCCGAAAAAAATATTTTGAGTACGCTCAAGTCCAAGTTTACTCCAACACATTAATTCGCCAAATTTACTGACCTAATTTTATCCTACATTTTATCCAACTTTTTTTTTCTTAATATTTTCATATTTGCCAATAAGCAGATGTGTTGTAACTGTTGAAGAAATTGGCATTTTAGGCATGAGGAAGGATAGCACCCAGCAGCAGCTCTTCCTGGTCTTGGTTTACTTCCTTAATTAAGGAAATGAGATCTCGCATCCTGCTCCTCTTCAGTCGTCCTCTGATGGGCATGTCAGCTGTGACTATGCCGTTAATAAGTCCGCTGTGATGTCCGTGTGGTTTAAGAAATTGGAAGTAGAGATTACATATGCTTTAGTACCAACAAATTTATCTTATTAGTCATACAATTTTTGGAATTATTGTAGTTTTTATAAGTGTTTTTTTTTTTTTTTTGCAGAATCGTATATTTATGAGGCATATGTCCATATAGATTCGAGTAGGTAAGTGTATGTATTTAGTTTTTGTCTAATTTTCAATTTTGATTTTGGAAAAAAGTGAGTATAGTATTTTCAGTGACTTTTTAAAAGTCTCTCGTTCCATTTTGACATGTAGATCCCATTTCATCCTTTTGTCGAGTATTAGCCCGAGATAACGTGCAATGCCCGTATGAAGAATTCGATTTTCGCCGATCTAACTGATTTATTATATTCTGTATTAAATGCTCTATCCTGGCTATCCTGCTATCATTTAACATTTGATCATTCAAATATAAAAATGTTTAAGAACATTTTCCCCTTTATTCCCAAGGTACAAATATATATATATATATATATATATATATATATATATATATTTTTTTTTTTTTTTTTGTCTGTTTTAATACGTAAAATCCTGGTGTCATCAACGCATATTCTTCATTTTTGTTTAAATCAGAAAATTAAAATATTCTTTAGAGAAAAAAATTAATCAAGTAAATTTGTATAGTGTAATAAGAAAATACGCTTATTAGCATATACCACTAAGGTTGCAATTATATTTTAAACGTAAACACACTCCATTATTTGTAAAATATTTACTATTATTTCAATATGTCTACATTATTTCATTTTATATTTTTGTAAATTTTTCGTTATTTAATGCATGGAAAAATATATGACACTTGACAAATTACAATACCCTCTTTTTCCTAAATCACCAAAACTGAAACTGAATACATATACATACCTATTTAAAACCATATGAACATACTCATTACAGATATACGGTATTGCCAAAAAGACGACTCTATAAAAACTTCAAACTTTCCAATCAAAATTATTACAACTCATAACAAAAGCACCTTGCTACTTGACTAAAAAAAAGCTCTATATACTAACTTTCATCTTCCAACAGTCGACCAACACAAAACGACCCACTATTGACGATTTTATACAAGTTTAAACGGAAATAACAATAGATTAATAAGAGACATGACAACAGCTGGCATACCTCGGAAGATGAGGAAAATACTAAAAAGACGTTGGATGAGAGATCCCCCTCCTTAAGCAACCTAAATAATTGAAACAGGTCAGGAAAGAAGATCTACTGAGTACTATCCTTCCCCATGCCTATGCACAGGTCATTATATCTTGTATTTCAGCACATTATCTGATTTTCGAGACATATTTACAGGTCCAAATAAATATTTAAAGTGAAAGAAAAACTTAATTTTATTTTTTACAATAAGTAAATTTTGAAAAAGTTTAATAGACCGAAAATTCTCCCACAAATTTAAAAGCTTTTTAAGAAGAAACAACTTAATAATTTCTATGTTGTATGGTATTTTCAGATGTTCAGACTGTTGTTTTTGTAATTTTGAATTTTCGAAAATGGGTTATAAAAGCAGAAACCGAAAATAATTAAAATTATTTTTGATGTTAGAAACGATTTTATTTGTGCAGAGTATTTGAAGAAGTATTTATGATCCTTTAATATTTTGTTTATTATTGATATAATGTAAAAATTAAACAATTATCCCACTTATTTTATGATATCAAAAAGAATTTTTGAAACATATTTTCAATATTTAAAAATTAATTTAATAAATAACTTTTCTTTTTTTTTTTTTTTTTTTTTTTTGTCTATCAAAAATATATTTGCGCCTGTCAACTTATTGTTGACAATCAGCAAATGTGATGGCGATATATGATATAATGTCATGACAGGCATGGGGAAGGAAAGTACTCAGCAGTACCTCTTCCCTAACTTGTTCCAATTACTTAGGTTGTCTAAGGAAGGAGATCCCTCATCCAACGCCTTTTTAGTCTCCTGCTCATGTTCTGAGGCATGTCAGCTGTGGCCATGTCTCTTATTAGTTTGTTATTATGTCCATTTAAATTTGTGTAAAATCGTTTATAAAGGTACGTTTTCTTCGGTCAACTGATGGAAAGTGGAGGTCAGTATGTAAATTTTTGTTAAATAAATAAATAACTTAAAATGATTATGAGTCAAATTGTTATCAGTGACTTACCGCCTTCTCGATGGACGATGAACCAAAGCAGAACATTGAGACTTCAATTCCTTGATAGACCAAAAACATCAGAGATTTAAATATGAATAATGGAGTTCTTGTGCTTCCCTGTTAATAATATTTATCTTAATAATAGTTATAAATATTTGTATAATAATATTTTATTATTTAATTTTAAAGTTAAAATAAAAATTACTTACAAACAAAAATTGAAAAACAGCTATAATCAAGACGAAGATTCCCATTCCAAGTATGATAGTTACAAGAGGATTGTATATACTTCTAAGTTCATTAGCGTAACTGAAAATAAATATTTTTATTTTTGGTTTGTTATTGACAAATGATTACATTGGAATTAATAATTACCTTAAGAGTTTCTTGTGATCTTTTATAATATTATAAAGTTCCTTGTATATAGGAGAACGACTGTGATAGAATGTAATCTTGTGAACTTCAGTAGTTTCTATTTTTAAGGTTGCTAAGTGATGTCCGAGTACTGTAAATTGTGCGTAAAGACACATCAGGAGTTGATAAAATAGACTATCGTACACAGCCAGGAGTATACCGTCCCATATGATAAGCATCGTTTCGTAAACGAATATGGCTTCGTAATAAGGATACTTATCTATGGGCAATGGATACCAACCGTGCATTATCTTCATCCTTCCTCCTTTTACAGCGCCCATGTTGCCTGTATGATACAGTATATAGTCAACAGATATCCCTGGTTGAATTATATACATAGCCACGATGCTGGAATTAACGATAAATGCAGCCTTACACAACATATTAGAAGTTCTTGTGATCTTCTTGTAGATGTTCTTCGCTTCATCGCGTTTTTTCTCTGGCAAAGTCAAAAAATCCTTCCGTATCAAGTTGTAAAGCCTACAAACGTTGTCAATCCGGAACCAAAACACCAAAACTTTAGAGCATATCTGCAGAGCAGGCAAGGAATGCAAATTCAAGAACGTAGCTTTCTGCAAGTCGACTTCAATCACGAAATAACTCAGATACTGGCAGAAAATATAAGGAATTGAGAGAAGGAGTGTTAGAAATACTTTGAATTTGATTATTCCGCTTCTCTTCCCCGTGCTTCGGTATCGGTTTATGACACTCCATAAGCCGAAGAACTTGAGGTACTTTATGCTTAGACCATCGAGGATATCTGAATCTGTGATGACGTCTTTACTGTTCATGGCTCCGTGCAGGACTGACGTCCACGCAAGTTGACGTTTTGTAAATATAACCTGGAAGCAGGGTATGTTCTCCTTTATTAATGTTCCAATTACCGTAGGTAGATGAGAATGGTAATAATTGAGCATCAATGAGGTCCTTTTTATTAATTGGGGGTAAATTAATTGTCAGCTCATCCGAATGAGGTGCATATTGAAACGGATCATCAATGGAGAAAAAGACATCTCAACTACAACCTTCTTTGGAGTAATTCTGTAAACAAAATGATTGAACTCACATCATTTTAATATTAAAGAAATATCGTATTTATTTTTACAAATATTCATAATCCTGTGATTATGAAAATGAAATAATATTATAAGCAATAATTATTAAAAAATATTTTTTCCGATGTCCATTCATTTTCATCTAAAGAAATAAAATAACATACTTCATTCTACAGTTCGAATTTATGGTGTCTTACGTCGTGCTTAAGAAATAGGGCATTAGTTCAATATTTTTCATCTTCATTATATAATTTTGACATTTAAGCTAAACTAGACTTTTACATAACAAAATATGTATAAAAAAAATGTAACATTTTATAAAAATTAGAAGTTCTGGTTACCATAGGTTTATATTCAGAGGTTGATCAACTACTTACTTTTTAAAAAAGGAATAATGGTTCCATTTTAGATGAAACGTAGTCCAAAATTACAAGAAATTGATGAAAAGTGATGAACCAAAGGACTATTTCTTAAACACAATGAAAAAAAAAATACAGTTGCATTTTGAAAAAAAAATTAGTTTAAGTAACTTTGGAAAATTTAGTTTTTTGCACAGGATAATGAAAATATGGAATTCACTGAATTTGTAAAAATGTGTTGGTAATTTATTGTAAATAAATAATAGGCAAATACTCTTTTCATTTTGGTAGATTTATTTTTAGTTACTCTATTTATCGAAGAAATAAAAAAAAGATATATAAATAATAATACTAAATAAATGTACACATGGCAACTGATACCGCTTACTTTGTTTTTATTATTTCTTTCATTTATAATATATTATATGAAATATATTCTAATAAATATCGTAAGAAAACGTATTTCATTCATTCATTCAAATACACATTTTTATGTCCTTTGAACTCAGAAGTGACTATTTGATAGTCAACAACAAAATGAAGGAACAGCTCTTTAATACATTTAATTATAAAACAGTAACAAATAAATTGTACGGATTGACAGATAAAAAGATATTGACAGCTAAGATCACAGAAACCACCAAGTGCAAATAATATGTTTTTGATGATTGGAAAAACATTTCATGAAACGTCAAACTAATGATAATAAATAATATAAAAAAAACTACCATCATAAGAAAGTTAAAATTGCTAACAACATCAGTAAAACAAGAACTTCGCTACCATAGAAAAAAAGTTTGTTATCATTATTTTTTTAATGTTAATGTATTCTTTGCCAAACTATTGACAACCAACAGATGTTCTAATGAAAATTATAGAAATGGCATGTCTGACATGGGGAAGGATAGCACTCAGCAATACCTCTTCTCAGACTTGCTCCAATTGCCATGGTTTCTTAAAGAATATCTCTCATCTATGTCCGTATAAGTTAGTCTGATATCTTCTGTAATGTGTTCGAATGCGACCATTAACCACTGACATGTGAAAATTTTTAAAATTCGAAAATTAATACAAAATAATGTTTTTTAGATGCAATGTAGCTTTGGTTAGTCTCAGATGTTTTAGCAATTTATTTATAAATAATTTAGACCAAATTAAAGGTGGTGAGTGACTTTTTTTTTTATTCGAGTACCACACCGAATTTCAAAGACAAACAAAAAAAAATTATTAACTTTTTTAATTTTAATAACTGATTCTCTTATATTTTTAGGTGCTGAATCCATATGTGGTCTCAGTTTTTTTTATTGCTCATATTCTCTTGCGATTTCACTTTGTCTTAAGCTATAATATTTTTCTGGCAATAAAGGGAATATAATGATAATGTCGTTTGTATTGGAAACAAGGTTTTATTTGCATGATACAAGATACGTATATACATCTTTAGGTTTTATTTGTAAATTGGAGTTGGTTTATCGTCCTCCCCCCCCACCTTTCTTCTTAAAGCTTCTGATGTAACTGCTTGTCTCTTTTTCGATATTTTGTTACCTACTTCTAGTGTTCTTCCTGACTCCAATAATCCTTCCCATTACCACCTATATTCTGATGATTTCCAAATTTACCAATCGTTCCAACCTTCTGAGATGCCTGAGCCTACCAAAATGCTACAAGAAGATATCGACTGCATCAACAGATGGGCAGAAATAAATGAGTTTAAACTGAACGCAAAAAAATCGAAGGCTATTCTCATCTGGTCCAGGCATCTCATTAGTTCCTTTCCTTACACTCCTCTAATTTACCTCAATAACTGTCGCATCCATTTTCTCCCAAAATTAAAAAATGTCTTAGTAACCTTTGATCAGAAGCTTTCATGGAATAACTACATTTCACAAATTACCCAAAAATCCATAATTGTCCTTAAAAAAAACTCTTAAGATTCCGTAATTTTACTCCTTAAAAAACTACTCTTTGTAATCTCGTTTTGCCCCATTTCCACTACGGTTGCTTCGTGTGTGGAGGGTTGTCCGAAAGAATGATGATGAAATTGAAGTGACTCGTGAACTGTTTTATAAGATTCATCTTTGGGATTTCCACGCGTTCTTGTGTTTTCTACTGGTACGCCGAGTTGAAGAGGCTCTATCCTACCTCCCGATGACAATTCCTACTACTTGTTTTGCTTTTCTAATTCCCGAGAACCAAATATCCTCCCTACATTCTAGAACTATCGGTTCATATATCCTTTCCCATAAAACTACTTCCTTCAACAAATCCTATGTCACTCGCGCATCTCCTTCTAGAATTCTTTAACTATCATCATACGTCGATCCTCATCTATAAATACTTTCAAACAACTCTTATTCCACCACCTACTTCACATTCAAATTTCTACATCTATATAATATTTACTGGATTATGTAATTACAACTGCTCATCAAAATTTAATCGACAAGTGCTATTTGATTTTTTTTTCATCTATTCTATTTTATTTATTTTTCATACCTGTAAACCATACAGAATGTAATTGTATTACTTTGCATGCTGTATAATTCAATTAACTATATTCTTGCAATTTCAATTGTAATTATTATTCAACTGATAAGAATCTCTTTGTATTTTTCCAAGTCAGACTAATGGGCCAATTTGTTGTAGTGTGTTATTATTTTGGGGGGACGACTTTAGTAACAGAATAAAATTATTTGTTCATTCGTCTCATTCATTCATTGCATTCATACTGCCAGGAAGTTTTTTTTTAACCTAGAACCAACAAATTCAGCCAGGTTAAATTTCTAACCAAACCGTATAGCTCAGTTTGAGTTTACTCAGTTTGACTTAGGTTCTTCATTGTCAACTGTACATTGAAACTCATCATCATAATGTAAATCAGATTGTACATCAGTAAGTAAGTCTAAGATTTCAATATCAAAATTGTCTGGTGGTTTAGAGACGAGTTTATCTGTCTGTACGGTAGGCGGAAGGTTAGGATACCATATTACTATTTTATTTTTTGAGTTGTACTCAGTAACATCAACAGTACAAAAGTAAATATCGTCAGAATGGTTCTTTGACTCCCTCCATGTCATTGGAACTCTAAACCTGAAGGCTTTCGAAAATATCACAACCGACCTCACCCCAAGAACAGTTGTGACAGTCCTAGGAATCGTCAGTTATTAGTGCAAAGGTACACCAAAATATTATGAATTCACTTATATTATACAATATAACAATTTTTTTTTTGTCCTCAATTTTTCATCCGCACCTGTCATGGTAGTGACAATTAGCCGATCAGTATATAAATATAACAAAATAAATCTAGGAACGATATAATCGTTTATAACTAATAATTCATTAACAACTGTGTAGGAATCAACTTTCAGTCTATCACAAATATTTTCTGTTTTATTCTTTAATGCAGTAAAATGATTTAAGGCAGTAGTGTACCCAGACCTTTATCACCAACTGTATATAACAGCAATTATTCAAAGAAATATAATAAAAATGGTTACGTTTGTCTGTTAGGCGGAGTGGCGTAGCTCAGTGGTAAAGTACTGGGCTTGCAATGTTAAAGGTCTCAGGTTCGAATCCCGGCTCATGGCAGAAAAATTATTTATTCTGTTTCATTGGTCGTGGGGTGACCCTGGGTAGTTAGACCCTCCTAGAGCACACCCAGCTATAAAGTCGGTGCCCTTAATTAAAAGAATTAATTAAGGAGAAAAAACTGATGGTTGAGCGTGATCTCGGTCAAATCAGCTCCCTATCTCCGTAATCAGGGTGGACAATCGTAGACCAAGAAACAGCGCTTTCACTAAATAGTACTGAGCACAAGACCCTTCATGAGTTGTAGTGGTACAGGTTTTTTTTTTTTTTTTTTTTTGGCTAATAAGTAATGAAGGACTCTATTGACGTTGCTATGCGGCTGCAATACTGTTTACTAAGTTCAGACTGGCGCATCGTCTTTTTTTTTCATATAAATCTATCAGCTATTCCTTATAGTTTCGCTAATATGAAGATTGTCGCAGCCGTACTCTGGCACTAGTCTCTACTACCTTAGGTGGCACCCAAAATTTATCTTGATCACATAGACCGAATATATGAAAAATATGCTTTGTTTACGAACTCTTATACGTTTCTTTGATTTTATTTACAGCATACTCACCATAAGTGAAACAGAAACTGTTATCAACATTTTTATAACAATGTCTAAACATTCCATTTAGCACATCCACTTAATGATATAATATGAGGTTATGTTGACTGTCGACAAGCATGTACACTGCTTCTAATCCATTTTGAACTGCTTTTTAATGTTTTAAGGTGCATTCAGACATTTCACAAAATAGGGGGAACACAATTGTTTAACTTAAATAACAGCGACATTATTGCTCAACCAAACTATTTACTGTATTTATCTTGATACCAATAGCAGATAGAAAATATCAAAAATGAGAAACCTAAATTCTGGCATAGAAAAATAACCAATTATATATTTGTTTCCCCATAGATTGTGAA